ATGACCTACCAGATGCAACATCTTATTGCCCCAATGTATAACTAGGCAGTTTATGGGATCATTGTGCAATATTGCGCCCCACTTAATGCTATTAACTATTCCATCGAAAACGACATCAAAGGGTAAACGTCACCGCAGGGTGAAGAAAGCCATGGCTGACATAGGTGAGACAGAAAGATCAGAAACCAGAGGGGCCTACACCCTTGGCGCGCGCCTCGCTGGTTGTCCGCTGAGAATTCGCTTCAGAATACTCTGCTCATGTACTTGGCGTGGATTCGCTCTTCAATAACTATGAACTTCTAGCCGAGTACGAAAAATGTCATACAGTTTAAGCTGACAAATTCACCTGTGGAGGAAATAAGGAGCCGACGGGAAGCTGTACTGATCGGGACATGAGTTGTCCAGCTGGTAGCAGTTGTGTCATAGGTGGACTCGGCGTAGGATTGTGCTGCGATGACGCGAATGAGGGTAAGCTCAGAAATCACCTGGCTACCTGAAAAGTTTTAGGGAACAGATACAACTGATAAGTCCATTTTCAGAGCAATGGCATCAGGAAACACAAAAACCTCCTTGTCAAGTCGGTCGAATATTGACGCGCAACGTATTTTATGGAGTAGAGGTGTGGATTGGCAAAAGCTGTGCCCACAGGTATCTCCTGATTAATAGGCTGTGCGTTCAACCAATTGACTGATCAGATCGATTTCAAAAATTGGGTGAGCTTAGGGGAATAGGGCTGATTTTTTAGTCTGCTTTTGGAAGGGAGTAGGACTTTTATAGAACGGGGCGTGGTTCGGAAATCTGCTGTATCGAAAACGCCGGATGGTTGCGTAACATGCTTTGCGTCCTTGATGAACTCGTGAGCCACCCCCCCCCCTCCCCCTTTGCGACGAAAACCTTCAGGCCATATTGTGGATATGATGATCAAATGATGATGCTCTGCCATAAATTAAAGCTGCGCTAGACGAAAAGCTCCCTTGGCGCGACTTACACCGCGACTAATTTTCCACACCCAATATTCCAACGAGTCTGCCTTGAATTTGTTTATACCAGAACTTGTAATAGGGGGCGGGGTTAGTGAATGGGCGTGGATGTAGTTGTAGCTTTCCCCTGCATGTATCCCTCTTCATGCGTGCGTCAGTGTACATGAAATTTTTCGAATACTTCGGACTGTGTGAGCGGAACTTGGGGCAGAGCTTAGGAACGAATCTCAGTGGCTGACATGCTGGCTGGCTAGCTGAAGGCAGGGTGAATAATGGTTGGGTTGAAGAACTCCTCGACCTCGCTGTGCGAGAGTAGAGAGGATTCCGCGACCTCGCTGCTGTGCGAGAGTAGAGCCGATAGTGAATGTACGCGCGGAGAGCACAGACGGCTCGCGGGTGGCGAGAGTGAATATCCGCGCGCGAGAACGTAAAGGATCAGGCGAAAATCCTCGACGTGCCGTTGAGGAATCCTCAAGCAATATTTCACCTGGGCTGGAAGGGCTTGGGGGCCTTCGTTTTTCGCGTCACAAACCAGCATGGTGACATGCACCCATCACCGCCCCAGCCACCCGTATCATTCATCTAACAATATCCATTGAGGGATCCTTTTTATTAACCGTTTATACTTCAGATTCTGTCCGTACGGTTACGAATGTGTTCAAGGAAGACGTGTAGCGCACTGTTGTGGCCCGATACCGAACTTCAGAGAAAAGCTGTACCTGGAGGATAACACTATTATTGTTAACGAATATCCAAAGCCAAGAGAAATCGTGAACTCGACACATTGACGAAGATGCGTGGAGTGATCAATCGAAAAAACGGGTATCGTGAAAAAACTTCATAAGTACTAGCATAACGCATAGCATGACTTTTAATGAAAAGAACTGTAAAAAATAAAGAATTTAGTTAATCGAAAAGATGTGTGACTGCAATACATGCATAAACAATGTATAAAAAAAAAATTTTCATTTTAGTCTGAATCAATGGTATCCGAAGCACCAATTGGACCACTCACGGAATCGGGAAATCGACTTCGAAGAATCAAACGGTTCCAACATCGTTGACCAACTGCGGTAGACAATTGGAAAGCATCATCAACCCATTCGATGGGGATTCAAAAAGAGGTCACCTGTGGCATGCATGCGTTTGCAACGCGATGCGGCGCTATCGCAAGATACGGGGGCATTGTGGATGGCAATGCATGTCAAACCGCATAAAACGTCAACTTTTTCTGTCAAAAATGGGACTAAGCTGCTTCAAAGTGCGTGAGCATTTTCTTATTATCCCGATGTTCCTGTCCCTCATGGCGTTCACTCGTAGAGGATACTCGTAGGGTGAGGAATCGGCCACTTGCTCAGGTGCCGGCCATTTGCAACGAGTAGGTCCTGAGCATGGTTCTTCGCAACGACGCTCAATCCGCTTTCGATATCGTGTGGAACGAGCTTGAAAAGAAGTTTACGTAGGCATTTCTTCTCACTGGCGCTCCCTTCATTCCCCTAAAGTCTTTCTTTATTCGCTATGCACAGTAGGAAGAACTGCTCTGCTTTGATCACTATGTGAGAGACCATCACATTGTGCAGCGTTAATGTTATTTTTCGAAACTATGTAACCTCCCTTTTGAAAAGCGAGAAAATGTCGGGTGCAGAACAAACACCACATCTGACGACGGCCTCCAAGTAAATCTGGTTAGAAGTTGTTCATAGTGATAGCTGATTTCTGGTAAATGATAGTTGTAATTAGTGACAATCGATAGAATACAACTGCAACAGGCTAATCATTTCATTGGCAGAAAACATTAACATTTTGTGAAGGCCGTCGTCACTTGTGGTGCATGGTCTGCACCCGACACTTTCTCGCTTTTTGAAGGAGAGGGTACATTTATGAGTCTGTGCCTATGTGTCAATCAAAAGAAGGCACGAGAAGGAAATACAGAACCTACCTCTTCCATGTGTCAAGTGTGGACGCAAATCAACAAAACAACCGAATGTAAACACTTAGGTGGGCTCGTATAAGGAACATGAAACAAAGCCAAAAGCTGCCTCGCCAAGAATTCGAACGTGATACCTCTCCAAACAAAAAGAACGTAACCCAACTACACCATCAGGCCAATTGAACTAAATGCTTTCTGCCTCGTTTCCTGCGAATCATGGGGGATCGGGGGACGTGGAGGGCGCCATAGTGGGAATGTTCCCTCGTAACTTCTTTCAGAGAGTTGTTCCCCAGATATCGAAAACGGATTTCAAGCGTCAGCACGCTAGATGCGTGGCATTGCGTACTATTTTCTTTTTACGGAATGGCGGAGTGCACTACTTGGGAGCGTTCCTTGATTAGCAATATGTAAAGCCACCACATGACCAGGGCCCCACGGCCCGGCGTAATCTCTTTCATGAATTGACACACGTTTAGACAATATGTCCCTATATATTGCGATAGCGCCCACGCCCCGCCCACGCTCGGTGGATCGATGCATCGCGCTTTTGTGCACCTTGGACCAAAGCGTTATGCCTAGCCCTGGAGTGATGCACGAATTGTGAATATTACTGCGGTGAAAGAAAAGTCATAGCGCGTTGTCGCGCCCGTCTGCACTTCACACTCGCGCGACAACTGAGGACGCTAACATATCAAAACCACTGGGGGGCGTCAGCGCGCGCACGGTCTGCTGCCATGCACTGCAATATTCTGACCGGTGGCTTTGTCAAGCTGCCCGTCCCGACGTCGCACCGTGACCTCTACAGGCACATTCACGGTATTGCCTGGAATGACCTCATACAGAACCATGCAGGGATGAGGTGATTTTTCTTCCTGTTGGACCCCGTGAAGGCGAACACGACCTTTCTTGAGCTGTACCCACATACAAACATAACATTGTCTCCTTCTGTTCCCTATTTACTCCTACTTTGATCTATAGTAGAAGGCGTGAAGGTTTTTGGGTGCTAACGATAAGTGAGTTGGGAAGGATCGCGCGGCGGGGCGTTGTCTGTCAAATGCAATAGGGACTAAGCCTGGGCCCAGAAGATGGCTCAAATGGGCTAAAAGTCATTCTACAAGTCATAGTGGTCATGGCTTACCTACTCCTCCCAGTTACCATTAAAGATCGAAGGGTTCCTGAGCTTCATTGTGTTAATTTCTTTGCATCAATTCAAATGAAACTCTTCAAACACCTTTATGGGACGACGTTTCGGGCCTTACCATTAATCTCATCGCGCTTGAAAAACAGCGCCGCTGCGTGGTCCCCCCCCCCCAACTCACTCAGCACCGGTTTTTGTAGATCAAAATTAGGAACAAATAGAACCGGGAACGTTTTTACGCGCCGTCCTTATCCGGGGACTCAAGAAAAGGGTGAATAACGGTCAAGGAAATTCCTCGACCATGGCTCTGTACTGTGTGAGAACAGTGTCGAGAGTGAATGTACGCGCGGAGAGCACAGACGGCTCGCGCGTGGCGAGAGTGAATGTCCGCGCGGGAGAGCGTTGCTGAACAGGCGAAATTCCTTGAGTAGTCGTCGAAAAATTCTCGACCGATTTTCACTGCACAAGATTAGTCTCTGTTGTACCTGTGGCTGAACTGAACGCAGAATAAGCATGTATATGCTCTGTAATAGCCCTTACATTGTTCTCAAACACATTTACCAAACAGAATGGGAGTCTGCGTGTCTGACAGCGCGTGTGGGTCCAAATCAGATAAGGCTGTAAAAATTATGGGGAACAATCAAAAGTAAGCTGATGTTTGGTTTGAGGAAGTGCTACTGTGATAAGATGT